TTGTTTATCCCAGTGAATAAAAAATAATTTCGCTTTTGTACATTTGTGTCCCATTTTTATATAATTCACTCTAAAAAGGTTCTGTATAGATCCAAATATGATTCTTTGGCATGTAATCATAGGAGAACCTTTTTGGTGCCATATAACACTTCTCTTTAAAGGTGCTCTTTAGCGAAAACAGTCAAAAGTGCCATTTCTTCTGCCAGGACCTTTTACGTTGTCCCAGCGCTTGCTTCAGAATGCCATCAGTTGTGTCTGCTGTGTTGTGCAGTGTGTCGTATCACTGTTTACTCAAGGTTTTCTGAAGTACAGGAATGTATCCGTTTATCTTTCATCCTCCCACGTAGGATGTAATAGGATTCTCGTGTTTTGCATTGAGGACGATGACATGTTCATTAAGCCTTTTGAGGGACAATTCATGACTAAAGGATCTGGCAGAGGAGGTCAGGAATTTGATTATTTTTGGAGTCTGTTAACTGTTTTGAAAACTATTATTCACGCAAAAGTAGGTGTTCCATCTCAGATTATACATATGTCATAGATGCCCATGAAAGTGTTGAAGCAGAGAAAACACCTTTAATTAGTCCCAGCCTGAATTTCTAGGAAGCAACAGGTCTGTCTTTATGTGCAAGAAAAGCTGTAATGTACAACAAACAACTAAGGAGGCGGTAAGGGTGATGGATTGGAATATTTTTCAGTTTTCTTCAGCACTAAGGTTTGGATTATCTGTAAATATGGTACAGATGGAAAATGTTTGAGTTGCCACACTGCAAAACACCTTGGTCCAACTTGGTTATTCTACTATATAATATTATTCTACTATTTAATTTTACAGGCGCATCTGAAAATAATTAGAATGTGATTAATAAGTTCAATATTTATACCATTCAGTCTTCATGACTTCCAAACAAAGCTTTATCTCAACCTTGAAGCATTCCATTCCTTATTTCTCTTTGTAAATATTACAAAGGTTACATGCACTTTAGTCTCATTTTATAATCAACAACAAACCCACACAAGCACACATTGCTCAAAACATTGATTGCTCAAAAAATCTAAGTCCATATCATTTCCTCTGTTTGTGTGGCAGAATACAGCTTAAAAATGTTCTTAGAGTGCAGAACCACTGCAGCTCTCATGCTCCCAGTTTCCCCCTCTGGCCTGTTTTGAGGAGACCAGCCAAAAAGTGATGTGTAAAGGTCAACATATCATACGGCGGCTTAGTAGCTCTTCTGATTGATATCCAGTGTTACTGTAGTCACGTTCTCAGTGAGACGGGTATTTATATCACAGCCTTTTGAAAAGCAAGAGGGTGAACAGGATTGTTTTTACTCTTGCTTCAAATTAGTTCCTTGTGTAAAACTCGCCACAACTTTTCTGGTGTGTTTCGTCATCTTTCTGAAATGTAGCAATTATACAAATTATTGGTGAATTACTAGTATTCATATAATGGCAATATATTTCTACAGGGCTCAGAATAAACTTCAAAACTTCTTTTTGATCATAATTTCCCAAGAATCTGCAAATAAAATTAAAATGCCTTAAAGGGATCACATTTTAGACTGATGGCTACTTAGTGTGTGAGGTTATTTTCCTGTCCGCTCTTTACTAGGAACTTTATATCCAAGTCATTATGGAGGAGGGTCAATAATAAACAAAAAACAAAAATATGTCCTACACATTGTCCATTATACCGCAGTGCAGGAAAAATCTGAATTTATTTTACCAAATAATTTGTGAAAGAATGTGTGTGTTGCCAATGGACTCCCGACCGAAGTACCCAAGAGGCAACAGCAGACCCCCGTGACCGTGTGGTAAGAAGATCAATGAATGAATTGTGCATAAACTGGTATCATTGAATTTCCCAAAAACGGTTTTGAAAATAAAGGCAGGTGTTTGCCTTTGCAGGGCAATGTTGACCTCCATTGGGGTGTAGATGCGATACAATCCATCTGTGATAAGGGAAAAACGTGAAGTATTCTTAATGTTCCATCATTGTGCTCTCTTGCAGGTTACACATTATAAACAGTACCCACCAAACACGACCAAAGTGTACTCTTACTTTGAGTGCCGCGAAAAGAAGACGGACTCTACCAAGCTCAGAAAAGTTAAATACGACAAGACAGTCTTCTATGGGCTTCAATACATTCTGCACAAATACTTAAAAGGTAAGATTCAAGTTGAAATCACAGACATGTTGGTAATGTTGTGCTTTCCAGAATGCAGCCTGCTCTCCAAAAATTACTTTCTCGTGATGGCCTTGGAGAGCAGAGAAAACAGTGTCATATTTGTGGCCAGCAGTTTGGTTGGGGGTTATCATTACATTCTGATCGAATATGCAACATTTATGAAGGATTTGAGGGAATTCGTTCCTTTGTAAAGGATTTCATGGTTCTCCAAGAAGAAGGCTTTGGAAATTGTGTTAAATGATGAAACGGTCAAGAGAACAAATGCTCTTTCACAATAGTCTGCAGCCTCTGAACACTGGGATTCTGATGTTTATTTCCCTATTGATCCGATGATGAATCTGTAATAATTGTTTGAAGTGTTTGCTAGAGATGGCTGGCAGTTTAATCTCTTTAAAAATGTGTCTCCTTGAGGTAATAATGAAAAGTTTAATTAATGGTCGCTTCTTCAGATGGGGATTCCTACACACATATGCGCTTTTGCCATCAGTGTCATTGTTTAATTACTGAGGATTACCTGCTAGTGCTGGACAGATTGCACCGAAAGCCTTGTGTTGTGAATTTTCCATAACCCCTACACAAGTTGTCTGGAACTAAACACGGCAAATTTATTCACAGGAAATCGTTGTTTTGGTGCACCGAGTGACATGCATGTAATGGAGAGTTGTTGAGTAGAGACGATAAGTGTAGTTAAAATGGAAATGTGTTTTCTTGTCTAGAAGTTGTCCCAGATGTTGAGGGTGCTTTCATACTCGACTTCTTTAGTTCGATTCATTCGCACTAGAGTTCGTTTTCCATTTTAGAATGGTTTGTTTGGGCATGCAAAAAGGCAACAACCAGACCAAAGCAGACTAAAAGTGGTCCGAGACTGCTGATATGAATCCAAACAAACTCTAGAGTGCTTTATATGTGGGATAACATCAAATTCTCATCCGAACTAAACACAAGTGAAGACTTGAAAATGCAGCCACCGAGTTGACGTGTGTCTGTTAACGTTGTATTTCTCAAGGCAGTTTTGCGGTCAAAATTGGAGTAGTTTGTAACCTGAGCATCATTTACAAAATGCATCATAAGCGATAAACACAAATAATAAAGTAAGAGATGCCAAAGGTTAAGTCAAGCAGCGAAGTCTTCAGGTGTTGTTTACTTCAGGTAAAAGTTCATTCTAACCAAAGGAAAAGCAGTTGATGAAACACGTACAGGGACTTTGTGGTGATTCTGTTGAAAATGAAAAGCGTTCTCTGAATTCCGAGGAAAAGAGGACGTATTTGAAGGACTCTTTGCGAAATAGGACAGCCTTCATGCAGCACTAAGACGTAAGCGGCCTTGAAAACCGCACTCAGAAGGATCCTAGACTTTGCATTAAGACACAGTTGCACTATAAAAAGGCAACACTGAGTGTGTGCAGTTTATTATTGTCCCTCTGTAACAGACTCAGCGATAGTTCCTAGTGAATAGCAAACACAAAAATAACTCAGGGTCCTTGTTGTATTTTAATCAACATACTTCAGTTAATTTCATCTTTACCAATTCAGAGAATGGAAACTGAGGCTTCAATAAAAGTGGGAAATAATGGCTAATGTCTGGACAGAGCGCATGATGATTGAGATGGGACCTTTACTGTAATTTGTATTGCCTCAACCCATGTGAATAGCATGTGTTTCTCTCTTTCTCCCTTTACTTCATTTTTCTTACCAGTTCTAAACATTTACATCCATGCTGTAACTCAGCAAATAATCAGCCCAGCCCAGTGGTTTGTGATGGACAAGAAAATAAATAAATTAATGAAAAAGCTCTGTCTCTTTCTCCTCTAATATGTTTCCTGTCTCACAATCCTCTTTATTTCGTGCACATAGGACAAGTCATAACTCCAGAGAAGATTCAGGAAGCAAAGGAGGTGTATCGGGAACACTTTCAAGACGACGTGTTTAATGAAAAAGGATGGAACTATATTCTGGAGGTTAGGTTAAAAGATTTATAACAAGACTTTATGGAATGTTTTGTCCCTTGAGAGATTTTCAGCCTCATCTCTAATCAATGCAGAAATACAGTGGTCACCTGCCCATCGAGATCAAGGCTGTGCCGGAGGGAAGCGTTATTCCTCGAGGGAATGTGCTCTTCACTGTGGAAAGCACTGATCCTGAATGCTACTGGCTCACAAACTGGGTCGAGGTGAGGTTTTTTTATTTACAGTGGGAGAAAGAACTACTAAATATAATGGTGTGTTTATATCAGCAGTAAGAGATAGAATGTTAACGAAATAATCCAGATGAATGCATTTGCAAAAAGTGAACGTGAACCTCATATATTCTTCAGCTTTATTACACACAAAAGGAAACATATAATTATTATTTTTCTTGAAATGTTTATTAGATTCAAAGTCTCAGAAAAGTAGATTTTAAGCAAAATGTTTTGGGGGGTTTACATTTTGTTTTCTGTAGACCACTCCCCCTTTCAGTTCAACACCGTCTTGTCCTGACACAATTATTATAGACTGACTCGCGGGAACCACAACTAATAAATATTTAATAAATACATTCAATTTTCCAATCCAGAGGAGAAAACACCACACCAGGTGTTTTACTCCCCTGGAGAAAGCAAAACTGTCCAACTCAGCAAGGCATGTACTCTCCCATGTGATGGCTTTTGAGCAGGACAGGACAAGGTAAAAAAAAAATAAAAAACATCCAAGTGCACACTCACAACAGTAAACAAACACTCGAGCAGTGGCCAGCAATATTAGCGGGGGAACTGGTGTTTTACTCTAGGGCACCACTGTTGTGGCTTCTCAAAGGTGTCCATCATCACTCACTGCACCTTCAACTGGAGATTGAACCAGTGACCTTATGATCACCAGTGGAACTCCTTAACCCCTGAGCTACAACAGCCTATCATTAGAGTTGTAACGATGCACTCTCCTCACTTTACAATACGATACATGCATCACAATATTTTACAACACTATTTTTAACCAACTATTGAAACCATCATTGAAAAAAATTTTATTTAACAAATTTTGAGACTATAAAGCTAAACAGACTAAGGTGTAGTTTGATTTGTATGAGAGTGTTTGATGTGATCTAGCCCTTTTTAATCTCCAGTCAGAAACAACACACTAAGTCCCTAAAGTAAGAATACAAGAATACATCAGTGATTTCTTAAAAACAAAACATCAGTTTCTTTCTAATTTGCATTCTTTATTTGGGTGACAACTTTATTGAAATAAGTGGGAATTTAATTATTTATTTCACGCTGACCAGACTCAGGCTGAGCTTGGAGCAGATAGACATCAAGAGAATCTCTAAAATGAGCATAGAAGTAGAACTTATCAGTCATGTAAAGGATCAGCAACATAGACATTATATATAGATTCAAAGCTACTTCTTACTGTACTGCACACATTTATAGATGCTCTGCGGTGTAATTGCATGTTATTGCTCCAGGAAGTACAACATACATGTGTACTATTTAGGTATTGTTACAATGGACAGAATTATGCCATGTTGAGTCTAGTATTTATAATGTCTGTGATCACCAAAAAGATAAAAATCAATGCATTATTCTTCATTATTCTTTTTTTCTGCATTTTCAGTTTCGGGCACGAAATTGAATATTGAAAAAGTTTTATTTTCATTTTGGTTTTAAGTGACGTTTGACTAACGTGTTTCAGGAGGAGTCAAAGGGGAATGACACTTGTGCCTTCCATCTCTCATCAACTCACGCTCATATAAACCCAATCAAACCTCTAATTCACTCACAACTTCCAAGCTTTCTCATAAAAATTTGAAAATTACATGGATCCTCAAGGCCATCTGTATTAACATCTGCTGCCTCTGTACACCGAGAGAAATAGACCTGATGCAACACCTATAAAGTAGTTCTTAACTCTTTAGCATGTCATTTCATACTGCAAACAAACACATCTGTGATAGATCAGCCACATGGAAGCAAGCTTTCTTCCCCAAATCCAACTGAGTCACTCTGAAAGCAAACATCCAGTCATGTTGATTGCACACCTGACTTTTTCTGCTTTGACTCATTTGGATATTCAAAGAGAATAGTGAGGGGCTGATCTTGCTGAACATGACTCAGAGGTCGTCATGTGTGGCTGGTATATTTAGTCTCTGTTTGTGTGTCTGTGTGTGTCCTTGTTTCTCAGAACACACCGTCTTCACATAACAGCCTCCAAACACATAGACTTCCCCTATGATGACCATGAGCAGATAGAGGGATGGAGACGTTACATTGATAGACAAAGGATTTAGTGCAAGAGTCTCTTTAAGGACTCATATTCTTCTATTGAAAGCCTTTAGTCACCTAACAATGGCAATGAGGAAAGGCAAATATTTTCAGAGGTGAATGAACGCATTGACAACATAAATTAAGCCCTATCCGGACAAGATTTGTTTTCCAGACAATGTTTCAGTTAGAATACTTCTAGTTCGGGCGTGATTAACAAGTCCGTGATACAAGTGTCTGAGTTTGGCTTGCAATCACTTGATTGGCATTCCAGCTCACGTGATCAGACTGCAACATTTTGTGAGAAATCTACTTAAATACATAATAGGGCAACCACTCTCATGAATTGTTTTTTTTTAATCATTAAAAGGGTTCATCCTCATCCATTGTTGTAGGTTTAAAAATACTGGAAACTTGAACTTTGGTGTGCCAGAGATTGAACAGCAAGTTCACATTGTCCAAAAAAAGACACTAGAAATGCGTTTTACATAAAAAAAAATTCTGCAGCCTCAGTCATCTGCATTCAGACGGGTTTAGATTTCTCAGATGAGTGGCGATTTTGCTGATAAAGAGCAGTTCTTTTGCTCTGGAATTTTTACAGAGGTGATGAGAGAAAAAGGACAACCAGTACGACAACCATTTGAGATAAAAACGTATATTAAAATGGACATGTTAAAGTGCATTTAAATATTGGATGAACTGATGAATCAAATTGGTCACAACTTAAACCAGTTTCAGTTCAAACCGTAACACATGCGTGGATTAAATTAGCAACAATTAAACCCAAAATGTACAGTTAGTGCTTGATAAACAGTTAGGCGATATGATTACTTTACAGCTAGCTAGCTCGCTAAACAAAAAGTGTCGCTAACTAATGAGTAGAGGTTTATTGTTAAATGAACCGTTGTCAGGAAGATCTTCAAAAACATGTTGATGACATAGAAATGTGTATATCATGTACATAATTTTTTGTAAAGTAAAGACAAATAAATTGTGTCTTCCCAAACATATTAATTAACAAAATATAGGTAACATCCGTGATTTTCCCCCACAGAAATGTTCTATGTATGGTTGTGCTGTTTTACAATCCAATATTCATTCATTTTCGTGGCCGCTTATTCCCTTTTGGGGGCAGAGGGCTCTGCTGGTGCATCTTCAGCGCACATCATGCGAGAGGCGGGGATACACCCAGGACAAGTCGCCAGTCCACCGCAGGACAATTTATCTACTAATTAAATTTCCACTAATTATATTTTCCTTTGATAAAGCCGAAGCTACATTTATTCAGCTTCCTGGTCTGTGTGTTAGCTCTGCATAGAGATGGGCAGGGGAGGAGCTTAACCTGATTTGGTTAATGGATAGGGTTCGGTTGGAGGTTGGAAGATCAAAGTGTTCTCAAGGATTACACAAATATACATGAATTAATGTGAATGTAGCTATTTGATGAAACAATACTTAATTAAAACAAGTAGTTAATTTTATATAGCGTCTGCGATATAACACCTGAAATAAGGCAGGATCTCTTTCATGTGATGGTAATAACAATACTTTGTCAGACACTATACATTAGATATATAGACATTAAATGATTGTTATTATTTGTTATTAAATGAAATTAATTTCTTATTTGAGCTAAACATTATTTCAGATTCACTTTATTAATCCTTGTACTCTTGTATTCTGTTTTGATGGTAAACTTATTGTTCAGGACATTCTAATATTCTAAACTAAATGATCCAACAAGCTCTCTGTTGGTCGTGTTTCTCAAGAACAAGAATTACCTGTTTAATTCATAGACTTCCACACTTTGATGACTTCATAAAGGGCACACCATTAGGGCGAGTCCACAAGGGTGTGCTGAAGTCAGATTTTGTAAAGAAAAGACAAATAAATCTTGTCTTCCCAAATGTATTCATTTACAAAATATATGTTTGAGAGAATTAGTAACTATACTAGCTTGTTAGTTTGTTACTTGCAAAGAAATCTGGTACTGACTGTGGTGCACGAGGAGCCCGCACCAGTACAGGCTTTGCCCAAGGCCACATAAAGGGTGCTTGGAAACCACTAATGAGCCCCAAGACTGGATGATATGGCCTAAAAAAATAATCCCTGATTTTTCAGAAATTCCAAAAAAAAATTCATCCCTATTTGAAATCAATTTGCAGATATCGAAGAAAAGGTTCAAAACAAAAGATGGTAATATTAATACTAATAGTGCTGTAATAATATTAAATGATACTTTTTGGTCTAATTGTTATTTTATTTGAACTTAAATAGAAATTAAACACAAAATACAATGTGTACAGTTAGTTTATTAATAATAATAATGAACTGATGGATGTCACTTAAAGGCGTCCTCAAGGACACTGCAGACTGGTTGTGCGCATGTGCACAAATACCTTTGGCCAACTCTATTTAAAACAGTTGATTCATTAATTTCTCATAAGTTTAGGACTTGTATTAACAAATATTGAGTCGCTATGTAAAAACTTCTGCAGCGGCTCACTGCCATTTATGTATGTTATTATATGGAAACTCGAGGGGAACTTGGTGAGCTACACGTATTCTGTGGGGACTCAAAAGGCGAGCTCACATTCTACGGAACAAGGGCCAGTGTTCACATATTATGTTAAACATAAAGTCATTTTTCATTGAAGCAGATCGACGTACACCACAGAGTCAGAGAAAATGACAGATGGGACAACCTATGGACTTGTAGAATCATGAAGTGGAACATCAATATCTTCAAATTGTTGTTAGTTTCATAACTAGGATTTACTTCAGCTAATTCAGCTTTAGAATGTTTTAGAGACTTAGAAGACTTAGAAGATTTAGAAACAAGCTCCGGTAGAAGATGATGCTTTTATCAAAAATATAAAGTCACATACATCTGTGTCCATCCACAGACCATCCTGGTTCAGATCTGGTATCCAATTACGGTAGCTACAAACTCCCGGGAACAAAAGAAAATTTTGGCCAAATACCTGATGGAAACGTCTGGGAGCCTGGAAGGACTGGAGTATAAACTCCATGACTTCGGCTACAGGGGAGTCTCTTCTCAAGAGGTAGGATTTTGCTAGACCTTGAAAGATCTATGTCTGTCCTGAATGATGCACTTCACGGCTGTTTAGAATGTTTTGAGTTTAATCTGTGCATTACTCCCCTTTAACTTTCAGACGGCTGGCATCGGTGCCTCTGCACACTTGGTGAATTTTAAAGGAACAGACACTGTGGCTGGGATCGGTGTTATCAAGAAATACTACGGCACCAAAGACCCAGTCCCTGGTTTCTCAGTACCAGCTGCAGAGCACAGGTGAAACAACTCAGAGATACTTTTTAAAGTATCACAAAGTACAGTGCGCTGGAGATAGGCACCGGCAGAACCCCGTGACCTCCGAAAGGGATTAAGCGGATTGGAAAATGATTGAATAAATGAAATTGTTTATACAGTAGAAGTATCCTGTAGTGTTTAATTTCTAAATGACTAAACTTCAGTCATTTAATTCATTGTTTTGCAAAAGCCTTTATTCAATGATTTCTACTTAAAATAAAGTGCTCTTGAGACATTTCAAGTAAATTGTTTCACAAACAATTTCTTCATGAGCTTTATTATGTTTGATCGAAACCGAAGTGAGTTTTTAGCTTGTAC